CAATTCATTAGGGGTGCGGGGTGGGGTGTTTACTAATCGTGTGAGGGGATTCATATACCTAGGTATTCAGACATCTTTGCTTGACAGCAAGGCTACACTTGTCCCACAGAGCCCAGTACACCTTGATTTCAACATATTCCTTGACATGATACGAGCTATAGTCTAAACTCCTTAAACAGGGTTATATAGGGCCTTATACATGGGAGTATTCTAGGGGTTGGTAAGGGGAGATAAAAAGGAGTTTAGACTAAAGCTCATATGAGGACATGTCAGTATGCGCAAGGTTTTCTAAGTTTTATAATGTTGAAGGTTAGGTTCCTCAAAAGCCCAATATTCAATTCAATCCCCTTTAATTCAAGAATGTTCCTGGAACATATCAGCGATCCTAGCAACATGTAAGGCATATGCTGTGCTAAAGGTGTTGAGCCCTTCGCGCCTTCAAAGGCATTGTGAGCCGGCGATTTTTCTGTGAAGGTCACAGTCTTGGGGGTCACAGTCTTGGGTTGGTTCCTACAGCAAACCGCCGGTTGCAATGTGACTCCTGATGACACTAGCTCATGCTGAGATATGGGCCAAATAGACTACAGATACGACCCTAAGGACACCCCCCCAGAAAGGGCGTCCAAATACCCATATAGACCCCCCGGAGCACTGCAAAAGTTATTAAATACAACCCTAAAACCCTAAACCACGTCTAGGGTTTGGGGCGTAGGGCTTCAGGAGGCGCATCAGCAGATAGTTTTCTAGAATAACCCTGCTGAGAAACCCTATAATCCTTACATGCCCCCCAGCCAACCGTACGGTATACCAAGATTGTACAGGGGTCCTGGTATATTCTCACTGGAAGCTAAACCACTGCCAAGATTCTGGCCCTAGATTCCACGTGACCTACGGTATGGGCCCAGGCTACCTCCAGTAAACCCTTAACCCTAATCCCTAAACCCCTGAACCCTAAACCCTAAATCCCTGAACACTAAACCCTAATCCCTAAACCATTCATTGTTCCCAGTGATCACTCTGAGGTGGCAGCCTGACCTAACTCACGCAAGAAAGGAACCCGAATTTCTCACAGAGGGGCGCTACCCTCCAGCCTGGCTAGGATTTAGGCTTTACGGTTTAGGGCCTACTGCCAGCCCCAAAGCTGTTTTCTCACCCTGTTCGCCCTTAAAGTTGGGGGGAAACCAGTACAGTCTCGGGGAGGGTAGGAGGGGAATCCGTGAATCTTTCTCATACGGGTAGCGGCATCATGTACGTGGACCATCCAGTAATGGTTATGAATCAGAGGAACACAATGTAACACCATTATCCCTCATAGCCTTATAGCCACTATGACTGGTTGGGGCATCCATCCACCTAAGGCATCATATTGAAATTACCACGACCGGCATCCCTGTTGGTAAGCAGAATGTTGAGGTCAGTTCTTGTAAAGCAGGAGGTGGTACTACCTGCCGGCTGTCTAAAAAACTGCGCAACGGCTACACCCAATGTATGCTAGTAGAATATCCTGTCCTTGTGATCTCTATAAGCCTTATACAGGCCCTCCCGTAAAGCGCGTGTAACATGTGAGGGTAACATGAAAATACTGAAACTCTAGACTCTAAACCATACACCCCTAAACCCTTAAATCCCAAACTATAAACCCTCAAAACCTAGAATTTTGAATCCTTAAACCCTTGAATCATTGAACCTTAGACCCTAAGCCCTAAACCCCTAAACCCTTAAATCCTGAACCCTCAAATCCTAAACCCTCAAATCCCAAACCATGAAACCCTTGAATCCTTAAATCCTTACATTAGTAAGCCTTAGACCTTGAGCCCTAAACCCCTAGACCCCTAAACCCTTACATCCTAAACCCTAAACCCTAAACCCTAAAATTCATAGCCCTAAGCTGTTTCTGAGTCATAAATCTGAGGGGTCGGCTCTTAGATCTTTGATATGTTCGCCGGACTTGCCGATCAGCGCCCTGATCGACCTTGCAAGACAGCGTTGAAGGTTTAGAATTGAGGGCCTATGGTTTGGGTTTAGGCTTGGGGTTAGGCCCCCACCCAGCAACAGCGGTAGAATGGAAATATATAGGGACCTCAATACAAGTGCCGCTGTCCCTTGTGGTGGCTATTCGCGGGTGGGCGCCCAACCTAAACCTTACCTTTTCGCCACACCATGTAGGGCTTGTATGCACTTTAGGGTTCTTGGATGACAAAGCACCTAAATTTCGTCCCCTACATAATCCTCCATCTAGATAACAAAAGTTTGACAAAACATGTTCAATCAACTTCCAATATAGGGTATCTGCGGGAGGAACACTCATGAAAAAGACCATCCATGCAGGATTTATCCCGTCCACCTAATTAATGCTGAACTCTCCTATCCACATAACAACAAATACTCCCTAAAAGTTCTTACCATTGGGGCGAGTGTTTATTGGAGAGGGATTATGCACTGTCGCGGGAAGCACGGCATGCTTTTCGGCCCCTTGAGTGGCAGTCTTAAGTTGTTAAGTTGATTTTGGGGCTGGGCAGGCATATAACGAAACACGAGGGTTCATGTACAATAGCAGCTATTTGAAATGGGACTGTTGGATGTTCTTTTAGGGCTTAAAAGCTTGGCGCCCTCCAGAATGTGAAGCTCAGAAGGCAGTGGCAGAGATGAGACCATGAATCTACAACTGTACGCAGTAATGTACGGTTCAAAACTACCATCTTAGGGGCCCTAGACGCTCATGGGAAGTTATGCGTAAGGTTAGAGATGGTAATTTCCCAATAGGGCGGCGCCAATACAGACATCAATATACTATTTATGACCCTCATTCAAGGGCCCCCGCAATGGTACTCCGAATTTTTGGGAAACCGGCAAATATACAACGCTAGGTTCTTACCCTTAGCAAAACCACGTATAGCTTCGGATGACACCGCAGGATCCACTACTGCCACCTAAACCCTTTATATGGGGATTATATGGCAGCTGTATCAGGTTATGCAGAGCCCCAATAATAAGCATTAGATAGGGCTTATATTGGGATCATAGCAACCGGATCTCAGACTGAGATGAAGGGATTATGTGGGGATATGTACGGATTGCTACAGTTGATTATCTCCAGACTTCTCCAAAAAATGGAGAGAACGCGTTTATAGTTCCCGTTCTTAACAGGAGTCCGGTCCATGTTAGGTTCCATGTTACCTTTGGGGGACTACTCAGGTAAAGTCACCCCAAACCCTAATCAAACCCATCATGCAGCAGCTAGCTCGAGGGTGGAGCATCAAGATTCATGAGGAAGTAAGGAGTCGGCCCCTTGTTCACAGCATGTTTGAATGCCAAAGAAAATGGAAGCTCAAATTGGGAAAGTCTGAAAATCAAGAAGCTCTTCAAGCGAGAATCGAACCCCTGAAGTGTTAGCTACTCTAGCACTTCTTCACCTGTGGCCCCAGCCCAAACCCTCCCTGATTCCCGTTAAAAAATTGGCACGCGACTAAAGGACCCACGAGCCCTGAGCGTAATGACCCACAATGCACCATTTCTCATGTTCTTCGCAAGTCACAGAGTTTTGTCAGGCTTTGAAGCGGAGGGTCTTGGGAGAGGGAGTGCCGGACACCACGTTGAACGGGAAATGTCTAGGGTTGGGACATAACTGCTGAAGAAATGTACGTGTGCCAACGTTAGTGCGAGATGGAATGCACCAAAACATGCAAAGTTTGCATAATCGCCCGCAAGCCAGCCTGCTCCCAAACAACTATCCTCCCCTATCCTAGAGTGGGATCCGACAAGTGCCTTGCAAACATCAATGTCCTTGAAAGGTTGTCTCTAAGTATATGGATAACTACGCATGGGGGCTGTCAAGATCATGGTCCCTTCTGAGGTGCTTTAAGATTTGGGGGCCGTATTGCACAGGCCAAAAGGAACTACCGGTGGACCCCCGTATATCCAAGCTGAATGGTCTCTCCCGTTTGACAGTACCTCTAACATAAACCCTATATCCATGCCTATGTAGTGCCGTTTATAACCCTACTAAAACCATATACGGGGGGAAACAGAGGACTACATACATATCTTAACCATAAACCCTATCTATATGCACATACAAATATAGGTATATGTACATACCTCAAACCCTACACACAGAGCCATAGACACTACAGTGGATACTAAAAATCCTGCATAACCCTAGGTACACTTTACATTGCAAATTATGGTACTATAGTATAGTAAAGTCATGCAGGATTTTTAATATCAACAATAGGACTCTGGCCAGGATGGCCACAAGCAATATGTGGCGTTCATACCCTAAGCGGGTATATGGGGGTTTCCCAAAATAAGGAGTAACTTTTTGGGGGTCCCAGAATAAGGAATATAGCATACTGGGGTCTACACTGGGGTCCCTATTTTGGAAACTACCATATAGAGGCGCCTAAAGAAGTACAAATACATAGAGAGTATATAAAGATGAAACCGGGATATATAGGGTTTAGGGTTTTGGGATAGTACCCGAATAGTAGAGAATCAAATGGAAAAGATCATGGAGCTGGTATTCTGCAGGGATTTAAAAGTTTTCACACAGGGGACTTCGCACTGTAGGGCAACCCCATGGCAAGCGGGGCTCTGGGTTTAGGGCCTAGGGTTTAGGGTTTAGGGTCTAGGGTTTAGGGTTTAGGGTTAGGGTTTCTTTGAGGTCTATATTGGGTTCCGCGATGTATGAAAACTACACTCTTTAAGAAACTCTCTTCGAGGAGCCCTAGACATCATGGATTTAGCGCCTAGGGTTTAGGGTTAGTTACTATAATACAAAAAACCGATTCTGCAATATATACCCATAGTATGGTAACTTAAATTCACATGCGCGAAGATTTTGGGCGGTTCAGAGGTCTCAGCCTACTCTAGTGGTAGGCTCTTTCCTGACACCCCAATCCAAAGCCTCGCATCTACCCTAAGCCAGAAGCCCTAAGCCCTAAACCCACTCCCAAACCCCCAGTCTCACACCCTTGCGTCACTTCGTGCTCTCACTTCGTTCACTTCGATGGTGCCAGGAAGCCATTTCCTCGGCTCACCTCGCGCAAGCTGACACACAGGCATGGATTAGGTCAATCCCCCCCTATAGCAATAGATCCTTAATATGGGATTTTGAAGGCCTTAAGTTACCTACAATAGTCCCTTGTGGTATCCATTACCGGGCGGGGATTGACCCAAGGCATGGATTCGTTTTGCAGGTTGTGACCTTCGGGCTTAGGACAGTTTGCTGGGGTTTAGACATGAGAGCCTGATGATCCGGGCCAGGTTGAAGGGTTGGAGAACCAGCATCAAGTCTTGCTGAACCCTAAACCCTAAATTGTAGTTTCCATTTTCCTTTCCATTATCCTTATATATTACCCCCATACTATACCCCCTATATACCCCTATATTCCCTAATCCCTAAACCCGGCCTTCAAGGATCAGATTTCTGGGTTGCCATTAAGGAACCTAATTTAAGTTACTATGTCAGGTTACTATAGTGGGGAAACCCTTTTAGTGACTATATATATATATCAATTACACTAGAGTAACTTAGTTTAAGTTCAGTAACAGCAACCCAGATTTAAGCCGCATGTTGCGCCAGCGCACCTTAGGGTCTAGGGTTGAGGAAAGGGCTTAGTCTAATTTCAAAGGGTCTTGCAGGGCTTAAGGTTTAGGGTAGGGAAACAGGCAATGTATTATACAGGAATTATACAGGGATTATCTTCCCATATTCCCTACTAACCCCGGGCAAGAATGAGGGACCCCAGGGACGCAGAACCCAAAGGTTGCTGGGAGACATTTGGCCTCGCCAGCACCATTCAAAGAGACCAACAGTGCCTGACACAGGGCTTTGGCGCCTTTAGGGTTTAGGGTCTGGGTTCGAAAGGGTTGTAGAACACGGTTTAGGCTTTGACCTCTCGGCGGCTACTCAATTGTTGTAGAACACGGTTTGGGGTTCAGGTAGGAGATAAACCATTATGCGGGAGTCATATGGAGACAGTCATGTAGGGTGGAGAATGACATGGAAAATGACATGAGAACTTATAGGTGCTTACGCATGTGACAAAAGGATCAGCACCTTGGCTACCCTTAATTAAGACCTGATGACTATCATCTGACTCTTGTAGGGTCCTTTTTGAGGGGTTTGGGGCTTTCAACCTCATGTCATATGAACCACAACCTTCCCTGCTTATGTTCGTCACTTAACACAGGTGCGTCGTATTTGTTTGGGGCTTAGGATGTTCAAGTACACGTGCAAGTTCCTGTTCACAACCTACCTCACTTGGAGCGTCAGGAGAGCACTTTGCATATATTCTTAGAACCCCTACAAGCCTTATAGTAGCCCCACTTATTAAGTCCCCCTGACCCTCCAAGCAGGGCACAGGCAAGTCATGGGCGTTGGACTCACAACGGTTCAGGGCTTGAGGATGCCACTCCTAAAACTATGACTACTTCTACTATAGCTACCACTATTACTACTCTATTACTTATCGCTGCTTTGGGGGGATTGCTTTGAATCTCCCCAGGGTTGCTTTGGGATGCAAGGATTTCTGCTTTAAACTCCACACTTCGCTCCTCCATCCCTGAGAAGGCTTTTCTAGGGAAGGCGGAACTTTCGTCCTTTGGGGGTAGGGGTCGAACAAGAATCCACAGACTGGCGCGGCCTGTGACTTCTCATCGGGAACGCCCAAATGCCGTGCCACAGCGAAACCGACCCTCTTGTTGTGGCGGTCATAGGCGGAGTAGAACCTTTGATGTCACTTGGAAATCAAAAACTTGCTTGCAAGAAGGAATGAGTGGGCCACCAACAAACTCTTGCTGCAAGATTGGGCATTGCAGTCGGCTTCAACCTGCACCTGCCTAAGCAAGCCTCCTTGTTTTCTTCCGCCTGCGCCTGGGCACAAAAAGCATTAGTGAGAACAAGACCGTCTGGCGCTTCAAGCACGAGCCAGCCCTTCAAACATCACAAGGGCTGCTCACGCGAAGTAAGTGTCGGAGATAAGGATGGGCTCGCCACTGATCCTCTAAGACTCTCAGGGGCTTTTGCGTCAAACTCCCCTTTGTCGCGGCAGACGTTCTTGAATGGGTAGACCAGGTCGATCATGCCGTTGCGCACGTCGTAGATCTCGCACAGCAGCTCCTCTGTGCGAATCTTCTGGGCTGCGCTGGCACCACACAAGCCGAACTTCTCACCCAAGTACCGCAGGATGGTATTGAGGTAGGCTTGCGCTGCCTGGATCACTCATCGAAGGTGGAGAACTGCTTGTCCTCATACTTGGCTTCCTTGTCCTCAAGTAGCATGTGGCAAGACCACGGATCTTCTGCTGGCCGAACTCCATGGTCGCCACGCTGGCACCGTTTTTCGACCATCTAAGGGTTCTTATCATTGCCATATGTGTTGTGATTGCTGGCGTTGGCTTTGACTTCATTGCCCCAATATTCATCCACATGTTGACCTAATTCTGCAAAAGGGCCATCATCTTTTTTCCTAGTCTTATTCTCTTCCTTTTTATGACCAGCATTAGTACTAGCAGCGCTCGTTACTTTTACTTTCATCAACAACCTCATCATTACTTAGCAAAACGTGCCTCCCAAGGCCACCTGACCGGGAGCCAAAAGTTGCAACAGCAACCTACCTGAGTCTAGACCCCAACATGCAATGATCCATCTTATAGGGACCCCAAAAGGCTTCTAGAGGCTCCCAAAAAGGTACCCCTAATTTTGCCTGAGAATCAACGTCTGGCGGACACTCGAACAACAGCAGCAACCAGGCAAATGGCTACCTTGCAATTACAATGCGGAAAAAAAATCCTGCCTACACGTGTTTTCCAAATTTCTGGCAGCTCTGAAGCTCCAGAAAGTTTCTGTGAAAACTGGACCAACTGGCACCTCAAGGACATGCCGGGTATAGGGTGAAAAGACAAAACGGGTGCCGCTCACGCGAAGTAAGTGTTGGCAATCTTGTTGTTGATGTCCATTGTTTTGTAGTCATCGGATGCAAAGTACTTCTGTAGCGTGGGCAGGGCCCGGAAGGCCTCGTAGAAAGCTTTGCACTTCGGGAACTTGTCAAGGACAGGCTCGCCACCAATCCTCTCAGCCAACATCTTGTGCTGGTCCAGCATCTCCCAAATGTGGAAGTCCGCCACACCCGGGCCATCTGCCAAAACGAACCACTTACCACCAGAGGCGTTGTCCTTGAAGCTCAGGATTGCCTCGAACTTTGCGAAGGGCGGGGACTTCACAATGCCCTCGGCTTTTGCGTCAAACTCCTCTATGTCGCGGCAGACGTTCTTGAATGGGTAGACCAGATCGATCATGCCGTTGCGCACGTCGTAGATCTCGCACAGCAGCTCCTCTGTGCGAATCTTCTGGGCTGCGCTGGCACCATACAAGCCGAACTTCTCACCCAAGTACTGAAGGATAGCATTGGTCTGGCACACGCAAACGTCACCATCCACAAGGTAAGGGAGGTTCGCGAGGGGATTCATCTCCAGGATGGCAGGCTTGCGCTGCTTGAACCAGTCCTCACCGGTGCAGTACTGCTTGTCCTCGTACTTGGCCTCCTTGTATTCAAGTAGCATGCGGAAGACGGCACCAAGACCGCGGATCTTCCAGTAGCCGAACTCCATGGGAGCCGCGCTGGCGTCGCTTTTCGAGTATCCGCCCGACATGTTGAAGGGGAGCGTCACGTGTCTAAGACAAATCCGAAGCTAATGCTGCAACATGAGTGCACAAACTTGTCCTGGCACGTCAGGTACGCAAACACAGGGGATGGAAGGAGAGGCGGCAGTGCTCTGCATGCTGCATCAGTATAGCAATTCTGCTGCAACACGGACGTCGTTTACTACTTGGTACAAGTACTTCCCGACGTCCACCATCTTTATCTGGACACGGCACTACCATACATGACTAATTGTGGACACTGCTATCCTCCTAGCACCACTCCCACAGGATCCTGTCTTGTTATGGAATTCTACCATCTCCTTCATGGGCCACAAATGGTACTTGATCAAAATTCCAACTCCCGCAATGGCTGTTGTGGAAAGGAATGTCCTATAAGCTTGCCCGTATTAAAGACCTAAAGAAAGCCTGAATATTTTCCCCAGAAACCCATAGATCAACTCCCACTAGTGAGCCATGGTCCTACTTCCTAGCATCCTCCTGAATACCCCCTTTAATACCCCCCTATAAAATCCCATATATACCCCGTGTGACGCGTTGAGACCCAAACCCTAAACCCTATAGAATCCCCTTTTAAGGAGCCATAGGGCTTCGCCCTCCGAGCAGCTTCCTGAGGAAGGGATCGCCGAAGATGAAAAGAGGCCCGTTCGGCGGGGGGACGTCAAGGCCTACAGCAACTTTCTAGGTTGGTCCCTAAAACCCTTTAAAAAAACATTAGTATATAGGGTCCCTTATTCAACCCATTAGGGAAAATGTTAAATATCCCAGGAGCCTACCCAAAGCAACTTTCCAGGTGATTGGGGCTTGGGTTTTTCTAGCTGCCTACGGTTGCTGGAATACGTTTACCGTAAAGTATTGGGCTGTTTAGGATTTAAAGTTTCGGGCTGGGGGTTTGAGGCTCAAACGAAATTGCCAGGTTTTGTGGATCCATGGCCTGCTTTGAAGGGTTTCTTCAGGAAATAGATGGACGGAAATTGTGAGGATATAGGGAGTTGAACACACGAACAACAAGTGTGTGCAAGAGGAAAAGCAAGCAAGCAGCTACGCTCACATTTACCTTGAGCCAAATAATCGGGTTATGATTCTTGGAGCATGCGTGAAACCACAGCCATTGAACTACCTACTTTGTACCACTAAACTGCGTG